AGTTATAGAGGTTTAAAGTCAGGCGACCAAAAATGGTTTGCAATTATGATTACCTTCGCAGATACAATCCGCAGATGAAACTGATTATTTCATCAATAATGAAGACAATTGGAGCCAACTCAGTTCAACTTGAGAATTAGGCCACAAGTCTAAAGACTTTAAAGATCAGATAACTACTATTGGGAACAGTATGATTCCGAGTTAGTTATATCATAATTAGCAAAGTGGGTGTGGTGATTTTCAGGGTCTCCAGATGTTTGCACCTTTCAAGAATACCAGATGTTATGAGTTATAATCAGAAAGGTACATAATGGTATGATAAATAAATGTAGTCTGTGAACACAGACGTGGAATATAAATATCAAAGTGTCTTCGAAGCTTTAGACATCATCAAGCAATGGAGAAGAGACCTTAACAATACAAAATTGTTTTTATGATTCTATCTTACTTTACCAAATTTACTTCGCTCTTAGTAGTCATAAAAGAAAAGAGCGAACCTGAGCCTTCTTAGACAATCTCCATCTATGGAAATGAATTTCAATTAGCCTAAACAATTCTGAAGTCTATCAGATTGTCTCCACCTAACAGTTACGAGGATAACTTCCAATACTGCAACAGTGATTGAAATCCTGTTACTCAGAGCAACTAAGTATTGCCAACTGAGAGAATAATTGTCAATTTGGTAGAATACCTTTGTGTGAATTAGTAGGAAGTCCTCCAAAAGTGTTAGGAATACCAGAACCCGATACCTAGGAACTGCTCTAAGTAGGGTAACCTCACTCGGAATCGGAATCTCTGGTCTCCAACACCCCCCTCCAGCTCCCTTACGGGGCCCACGCGTCATCATATATATCAATCTCAGTTGCGTCCTGTGACTATATTACCACAGAATTGAAGGTATTAGACTAATACCATATACGTCGTCGCCGTCCGTCTGACCGGATCCTGTTCGCAGGATATATGAGAGGGGACCTTCTACTAGGTCTGGGAAGTGGAATGGAGTAATTCCGTCAACTATTCAGAGAGTTACTTGGCTTCAAAGACATGACACCTTTGGCATGGGCCGTAAGTAACAGGACGTTTTCGCACAAAGAGATGATATCAAATGGTAAAGAATCTCTATTAGAGACCAATACATTTACATCCACCAGAAGAGTCTAGAACTCCAAAGGATACTACCAAAGAAGCCAATGGACTTCACGGAGTATTGCAACTGGGTTTCAGAACACGTTGTAGCCATGGGGTAATTCCCAATACTACAATGGTTACTGAAACCTACTGCCCAGAGAGCAACCAAGGGTTGCCGACCGAGGAATTAATTACCAATCTGGTGGAATAGCTTCCTGCGAGTTAATAGAAAGTTATTTAGAGAAAATCTATCGATTGGGTATGGAGTTACAAAGGATCGAAGTCAGACGACCTACGATGGTTGTAATGACGACCACCTTTGCAGACACAGCATTGGATAAAACTGATCATTTTATCAATGGCGAAGACAATTGGGGCCAACTCAGTTCAACTTAAGGACTAGGCCATAAGTCTAAAGACTCTGCTAATCGGGATATTACTATTGGAGACAGCATGTTTCCTAAGTAGAAATATCGTAATTACAGAAGAGGGTGTGATGGTTTTCAAGGTCTATAGGTGTTCGCACCTTGGAAGAAAACTCGACATTGCGAATTATGATTGAATAAGTACATAGTTGTATGATAAATAGATGTAGTCTGTGAACACTCAGACACGGAATATAAATATCGAAGAGCCTCTTAAGCTTTGGACATTATCAAGCAACGGAGAAGAGACCTTAACAATATAATATTGTTTTTACAATTCTACCCTACTTTACCTATTCTACTTCGCTCCTAGTAGTCATAAACGAAACGAGCAAAGTCCGAGCCTTCCTAGACAATCTCCGTCTACAGAAACGAATCTCGATTGGCCTAGACAACTTTGAAGTCTATCAAGTTATCTCCGCCTAACAAGAAAACATCTATCAGTTGGGTAAGGAGTTATGAAGGTTTAAAGTCAGGTGACTTAAACAGGTTGTGATTACAACTACCTTCGCAGATACAACCCGCAGATGAAACTGATCTTTTCATCAATGACAGAGACAATTGGGGCCAACTCAGTTTAACTTGAGAACTAGACTACAAGTCTAAACGACTCTAATGATTGGATAACTACTATTGGGAACAGTATGGTTCTGAGTTAGTTATATCGTAATTGCCAAAGAGAGTGTAGTGATTTTCAGGGTCTTTAGGTGTTTGCATCTTTTAAAAGAATACCTGACGTTGCGTGTTATAGTCAGAGACCTTAACAATATAATGTTGTTTTATGATTCTATTTTACTTTACTGAATTTACTTTGCTCTTGGTAGTCATAAACAAAACAAGTGAACTTGAGCCTTCCTAGATAATCTCCATCTACAGAAATGAATCTTGGTAGGCCCAGACAATTCTGAAGTCTATCAGATTGTCTTTGCCTAACAGGGTGTCTATGCCTAGTAGAGTGGCTGCAGTTTTAGATGCAAAGGGATGGTACACAAAGTATTGATTTTTTTATTCTATAATTTCACATGAGAATTTTCTTATATCTATTGAATCTCTAACTAAATTTTCACTTTATTCTGGGTAGTTGTGGTTGCCTAGGAAGTAAATTTATAGTGGTAGTGGAGTTGCGGTTGCATCGCTGGACGAAACGATTTGACCCGGTACTTCCCATACATGTTCCACCCCAGTTTTTTCGAGAAACTTCGCTTCGTTGACCAAACCGGATATCCCATCCCATTAACCAAGCACTGGTGCGTCACTTCCCCACTGGGGCAATTCGGGGCTCGTATAAGGATTTTTGAAAACCTTTAAGATGGAGGGCTTCTGCGGCACATGCGGAGGAGCTTTGAAAAATGTTTGCTTGGTTATCACACTCGGATGCTTGTCCTCGTCCTGGTGCCCTGATAACCTGGCCAGGAAGGAAGGTATATTTGAGTATGATATGATTAGGTGTAAAGAAGAAGGACGTGGTTAACTAACTGCTGAAGGTTCATCTGTCATATGGTATATGCTATGTCATGACGCCAAAACCCAAAGTCTGATACACGCATCTCAACCCCGCATAATTTCCTCCGGCCCACAGCTAACTAAACAATCCTCCCGAAGGAAGGAAGACGGGAAGAAGGAGCACTATCAGTTAGACATATATCCTAAATGAAGGAAAGAATATGTATAAAAACCGAAAAAGTCGACTTTCCCAACCTGAGTCACTGGACAGAAGGGGTAACCCAAACGACGGTTTAAAGCGTCAAGAAGAAACCTGTAGCGCCTACTGCAGGGAAGCCTCAACCTGGGTGCACGGGCCTCGGGAGGGAAGCTATCTACACAGCTGGGTGGATAGGGAAGGCTGGGTGAGTGAGTGGCAGTCTGAGAAAGACTGAGTACGTTCTAGTCTTGCTTCACAGTCTCCCCGTGGTTTCCTTGTGAAGTGCCCGGACCGTTGGGAGCGCGCTGTCGGGTGCTTTCTCCTTTCTTCCATCAGTTCCACCTGGTGCGCTGGGTATCCATCCTTGCCCCCGGGCGGTTAGAGGTAGCGCGGGGGGAAGAAAGAATACCGTTTGATGACCAGATACGCAATTAGATAATCAGATCATCCTTGCTTATTAGCACGGCATCGTATGATACGTGATTAGGTATAATCACACCCTCAGGAAGTCTTCAAAAGACCAACCCGGGATCTGGAGTCGCCATTCGCGCCGGGATAATCGATTTGTTGATGACCGTTGTGATACAACTCCCGGCACCTACACTGCTCGTATACTATACTTTCTCACACCGCGGTGGGTGGGTGCGGCCGCCCTTCCTCCCTTTGGATCGACAATTAGACTTGTCGTATTAAAGTTGGGACCACAAGTAGCTTAAGCTGGAGTGGCTAGGCAGCCTCATTCGGGTCCTTTGGGTCTTCCCTTTTGGAAAGAAAGCAATTATTTATCCCATAAACCTACTGGCCCCCTCACTTTCTTCCCTTTTTTCTTTCTTTCTTTCTTCTTGCTATGGGAATTGTAAGGGGTGCTTTAGGCGGGGTTATACATGAGTATGGGTTGCCCGTGCTAGGGCTTGGTGCTGGTTCGACCAATATTTGGGGGGCATTGGCGTATCATATGTATAATACGGCAGAGTTCTTTGTACTGCGAGTGATAGGGTGTGATGCACTTTACCACATGATTCTGGGCACTGCAAATCAACTAGCATCCCCTCGATCAATAGACTTAGACGGAGTACATATAAGGGAGTCAACTTACCAGAGGGAGATTAAATAAGAACTTCAGGATATGCTACGTTATCCGTCTGGGTAGGGGATTGCTCCGAGGGTAAGAGAGTCACCTATGCATCTACCATCATTGTTATCAGATCTTACATTCTTATGAGATGAGATAGCACTCCTTGGCGCAACTGCTCGGTACATATATGATAGGACACCTCAGCTGACCCAGAATATCCTGAATATCACCAGCTTCGAACTAACGTAGATAAGCAACCATAGGCTCCGCATTTAGGATCTTCTTTGGGTATGTTCAAAATTCCTTCTTCGAATCTCTAGAGAATGATAAATCGAAGGTATTGCTCGAGTAACTTGAGCAGGAGCGAGGGTCATTTTAAGTTTGTATGGGACTGGCTCAATTAACACTGGGCTGACTGTAACAAATAATATCTTGGCATTATTATTCCCGACTAGGAAGGGAAAGACTCATATCTCTACCATATTAGGAAATGATCTACTGCTTCATATCGTATGTGACTTTGAATCAACACAGTGTTGATTTGTACGGTACAGGTACAGTACTGCCCGGGTCATGCTCTAGTGGGATAATTTACGGTATGGTATTACCAGTATGTTTGTTTCGGTCTTATTCTGAATTTTTGACATGCGTTTTCTGTTCCTTTCTTTCCGTCTCACTTAACGCTATCTGTATTTGCGTGCGTGGGGGATTTGTTCCCGGGGGCGATGATGGGAGCCAAACATACCCTCTATTCGCTTTATTATAATTCTTATATTGTATACCCGAGAAATGGTGACTTTTACCAAACTCCCATTCTCTCTTAAATTCCCGGCTGCCGTAATTCACCCATAAAAGACCGCAGCTAGAAGGAAGGAAAGTGTGGAAGGGGGGTGAGAGAACGAAATAAATATAACGAATGGAAACACCTACCCCGGGCTAATTACCCAGTTCATGAATTCAGGCATCCACCAAACCCCTATTAAGATTAATACCTTTCAAGATATCCCCAGCTCCAGCAGCGACGAGTTTCCCCGCTACGACTCTGCCAAAATTATCTGCTGCTTCCTCACCCGCGACTTCCATACGCTCCTCTACGTTAACAAAGTTCTGGCCGTCAAGGCTGACGACAACAGCCCTCATGAGCATCTGCCCGTTCGTGGCAGTCTCAGTTTCCACGCCGATGGGAACAGAGCAGCCGCCTTCTAGCGTCCTCATGAGCGAGCGTTCAGCAAGGCAATGGAGGGTGGTTTCCTTGTGGCCCAACACTCTAAGCATCTTTGCGGTGTCCTCGTCACCATCGCGGATCTCGACGCCTAACGCTCCTTGGCCAACGGCGTGAAGGAGGCACGGGGAGGAGAGGTAACCCGTGATGCGCTCTCCCAGATCGAGTCTTATCAGGCCCGCGGCTGCGAGGATCAGACAGGTGTAGGAGGACGCTGGGTCGTCGAGTTTTGCGAGCCGGGTGCCGACGTTACCGCGGACATCCTCGAAATTAAGGTGGGGGTATCGCTTCTTGATTTGCGCGCTGCGCCGGACGGAGGAGGTGCCGACTACGCTTCCTTCTGGTAGGTCTTCTAGGGACTTGTAGCTCGAGCCAGTCTTCATGACTAGGGCATCGCGGGGGTCTGTGTGGATTGTTAGTAGGGTAGTGGTGGGGGTTAAAGTGGCAGTGATATGGTAGTAGGAAGCATACCTTCACGTTCAAGTATGGCCCCGATCTTACACCCGTGCGGGAGCTGTGTCGGCATATCTAGATCCTCGCATTAGCTACAAACTGCCCAAGCAAAAAAAAATTGGCAAAGTGAGAAGAAAAAACCTTTCAGCGAATGCACAATCATCTCCAATTTATCCTCCAGCAACAGCACCTCAAGCTCCTGCGTCCATAGTGCTTTTGCCCCAAAGTTGTGTAGCGGTTTCGTCTGATTGTTGTCGCCGGTAGTAGTCATGGCGATGATTTCGAAGTTGGTGTCCGGATAGATCGCCTGTAAAGAATCGCGAACAAGATGTGTCTGGACCAACGCAAGCTTGGATTTCCTGCTTCCGATGCGGATATTTTTACGAGCGGGGTACACAGGCCTTGGGCCACCACCGACAAGGTTGAGGATTAATTGGTAGATTTGGGCGAGGGCGTAGGAAGACATGATGTGTGGTGTACAATTGAGTAGAGCGAGGTTGATCAAAAGAGCGTTAAACTAAGCTAGTGAGAGGAAAGGAACCTCGGGAGCATTAGACTAAGTACAAGTAAGTGAAAATGTTGAAAGGAAAAAAGGAAAAAGGGAAAAGGGAAAGATAATCCTCGGTGGTGTGACAGGTGAGAACTACACACCGTCGGGGGGGGGTTAGGCGTAACCCAACTTGAGGAGGAAAAAGCGCCAAGCCATCCCATACTGTTTTTATTCTGGTAATTGGAGGGCCGCCAATGATAAAAAAAAGATGTTGATACCATCATCCACCCATCTTTCTTTTTTCCCCAATCCACAATTTCTTTCTTTCCCTCCTTCCAGTTTGATCGGCCCGTCAAAAACTCCTTCATAAATCGCCAAGGACCATCTAACTAATTTTCCATGATGCTTGGAAGAGCACTCAATCGCTCGTTGCTGGGAACGAGACCACTCCTACTGGCTCCCCGCATTGCCCCACCAATTTCGAGATCACCCCACTATCAGTCTCGGTACCAATACTCGACTCAGCAGCCCCCCGAGAAGGGCCCCCGAGACTCTTCCGCCGCCAATTCGGACCCAGTTTCGGCCACGGACGCCAATGCTCCCCCGCTCTCCTCAGATCCCACACGGACGCCGCCACAGGAACCTTCCCCTTCGAGCTCAACACCCGATCCTCCTCCACCGGAATCGCAGCTCCCAGAGTTGAAATTGTTTCTGAAGGAAACAGAGAAGGCCGAGAAGGCCAGTTTCAGCGGGGGAGGGGGCGGAGGAAGAGCAGATGGTGGAGGACCGGGGAGGGGAGAAGGTCTACCTAAATCCGCCTATGTGTCATCCACAGATCGAAAGCGAGAACGTCTAGCCCGGATCGTATTCGGCTCGTTCATAGTCTCCCTCATTGGTGGCACACTCTACATGGGCCGGGAACTAGACAATGTGGAAAGGAAGTACTACAAAGACCTCCAACAAGGCTGGGGAGCATCCGCCTTCTATGCACGATTAAAAGCGCGAACGAACGACCTCCTGAACTTCTACAACGAACCACCCTTCGAAAAGCTCCTGCCAGACCCACTGCCGGACTATTCACGCCCCTACACGCTCGTCATCTCTCTCGAGGACGTCTGCGTGCATAGCACGTGGGACCGCGAACACGGGTGGAGAATCGCGAAGCGTCCAGGCTTGGACTACTTCCTCGCTTATCTATTCCATTACTACGAAATAGTAGTCTTCACAAGCCAGCACGAGCAAACCGCCGCCCCGATTATCCAGAAAATGGACCAGTACCCGGGGTACATCATGTTCCCACTCTTCCGCGCGCACACACGCTACAAGGACGGGAAGTACATCAAGGACCTCAACTACCTCAACCGTGACCTATCGAAGGTCATAATGCTTGAGACGAATCCAGACGCCTGGTCAGAAAACCCGAACAACACGATAAAGATGAAACCCTGGGATGGCGACCCAAAGGACAAAGAATTAATTTCCCTGATCCCGTTCCTAGAATACATCGCCGCAATGGGCATATCCGATGTCAGGCCCGTGATCGAGGGATTCGGCAACAAGCACGTCCCCACTGAATTCTCCCGGCGTGAGGCGATCGCACGCGCAGAGCACATGAAACGTGTAGAGGAGCAACGCAAAACTCGCAAGAGCACTGCCGGAGGCGCCCTACTCGGCGTACTGGGAATGAGTAGACCGTCCGCCAACGAGGAGAAGACGTTCATGGACCTGGCTAGGGAGCGCGGTCTACAAGCTTACCATGAGATGCAGAAGCACGTCGAGGATCACAAGGAGGAAATGCTCCAGGAGCAGAAGAAAATGGAGAAGGAGGCGGCGGAGATGATGAAGACGAGTTTGAGTAAGATCTTCACTGAGGTATCCTATACCCCTACATACGTGCCCATTCACTCAGCAGATGATACTAATCTTTTTATCTATTTATTTAAAGGGCCTACCTAAACCTCCAGGGGCACAATAACCCCCCCCCCCCCCCAAATCAGCTTCATTTGGCTACCTACAGTTCTCCACTCTGTGTTTAATCCACTTTATCAACCAATCGGGCGGGCTTTTCCTTTCGTCTCTGTCTCTTTTACTTCCCCAAGCACAAAAAATCGGTTTGTGGAAGTTGTTGCTTCTGGTTGTTTATATCTGCAGGGGGGATAGCTGATTAACTTATGTATTATTAGTTGTACCATAGATGAAGGTTTGGCATGGCTCTGCCAATTGTACAGTAACTTAAATGGAAATGAGGCGGAGCTTTAAAGTACATAGATTGTTCTTTCCTTCTGTTTTTTCTCTTATATATGGGGGGGGGGGGGGTAAATAATATGATTCTTGACGCAAGTGGTGTTATCCGTAGAGAAGACGATCTCATAACATAAATGTCACGAGAAGCATTACTGTACCACATGGACTGTCAAATTTTCTATGTCATCAAAGTGTTCCATTATCGTGAACGAACCATAAAACCAGAAAAGCTAAAAACACAAAGACGAGTTCATGAAGGATTTAAGCTTCATATAGTAAGTAAAAGCTCGTTTTATATCAAACATGATTCTCGAAACAAGAAACGAGCCCCGATTGCCTCCACGAACCACATTTACCTCAATGTGCTAGTGTATATCGCATGCTACCCCCCAGCCCCAGATCGGCAAAAAAAAAAAATACCTGTTTAATTGTACAGATCATCATCTTCCCCAGCCTGCCCAAACCCAGACTCAGCCCCGCCACCGACCTCCTCGGCAGTTGGGAACCTGAACGAGCTCATGCCGCCCGACTGCTTCATGCTCTGAGCAAAGGCCTCATAACGCCTAATCTCGACCTCAGAGACTGAACGTCTGGCAACTGCCATGGCCTCTTCGAAATGAGCCTTGGTGAGCTCTGGGACTGGGTCATCCCCTTCGGCTTCTACCATCTCGGTATCGGCACCCTCACCTCTCTCGGCCCTCTCTTTTTGTGCCTCAATTTCAGCAGAGATAGCTTGTTTTATTGCCAATTTGACAGCGCGTTGTGTAATAAAGCCCAAATCAGCACCGGAGAAGCCGTGCTTAAAAAGGGTCAGCTCGAGCATTTAAAAGAAAAGGAGCCAGGCAAACTTACAGTTCTAGAGGCAATGTATTTAAGGTCAATATCAGGGGCACAAGGAGTGTTCCTGAGTTGAGCCCTAAGAATATCGGCCCTGGAAGCCTCATTCGGCAAAGGTACATAGACCAAAGTGTCTAGACGACCTGGGCGACAAAGTGCAGCATCCAACTACACATTGTTAGTGAGATAATTCTCTATAAAGGGCTATAGCGAAATTCACCTGTTCGGGACGATTGGTAGCTCCGATGACAAAAACATTTTTCTTAACACCCATACCATCCAACTCAGTCAACAACATATTCACCACTCTGTCGCTGGCTCCACCGGCATCACCCATAGATCCACCACGGCTCTTGGCAATTGAATCCAACTCATCAAGGAATACAACACAAGGCGCCGCAGCGCGTGCCTTATCGAAGATATCCCGAATATTGCTTTCAGATTCACCAAACCACATAGAGAGAAGTTCGGGACCCTTGACGGAAATGAAGTTTGCAGCACATTCATTCGCGACCGCTTTCGCCAGCAGTGTCTTACCAGTGCCAGGGGGACCGTAGAACAGAACACCACGAGATGGGGACATTCCAAACTTGAGGAACTTTTCGGGGTGCTCCACAGGGTATTGCACGGACTCGATGAGCTCGCGCTTGACTTCTTCCAGCCCTCCAATGTCATCCCAACGAACATTAGGTACCTCAACCACGGCAACCTCACGGAGGGCAGATGGGTTACTAACACCAAGGGCAAATCGGAAATTCTCCATTGTAACTCCCAGAGAGTCAAGAACCTCGGCGTCAATAGTGTCCTCATCAAGATCGATGAGATCCATCTTCTCACGGATTTGCTGCATAGCTGCCTCGGAGCAGAGGGAAGCAACATCGGAACCAACATAGCCATGTGTCTCTGCCGCAATTTGTTCGAGATCTACGCCCTCGGCGAGCTTCATATTCTTCGTGTGAATCTGGAGAATTTCAAGACGCCCAGTTGGGTCGGGGATACCGATATCGACCTCGCGATCGAATCGCCCGAACCGACGAAGAGCAGGATCAATGGAGTTTGGCCGATTCGTAGCAGCCATGACAACGATGTTGCTTCGAGCCTTCATTCCGTCCATCAGGGTAAGTAATTGTGAAACAACTCTCCGCTCAACCTCGCCGTTGGTCTTTTCACGTTTGGGGGCAATCGAGTCGATCTCGTCGATGAAAATGATTGCGGGTGAATTCTTCTCTGCCTCCTCGAAGGCCTTACGCAAGTTAGATTCCGACTCTCCGGCCATTTTGCTCATGATTTCGGGACCATTGATCAAAAAGAAAAAGGCCCCAGTCTCGTTGGCGACAGCACGGGCCATAAGTGTTTTACCGGTGCCCGGAGGTCCATACTGTTTTTATAATTAGTAAGCGAGAAAACTACAATTTGAGAGAGTGGCTTACAAGAAGGATACCACGTGGTGGCTTGATACCAATGCTCTTGAACAGTTGAGGATGCCGGAGTGGCAGCTCAACGAGCTCTCTGATTTGCGCCATTTGCTTTCGACACCCACCGATATCATCGTAACCAACCTCATTAAGATTTCCCTCTTCGTCTTCTCGGTTAAGAGGCTCGCCCTCACAATGAATAACCGTATCTTGAGCGACAATTCCATAATCTGGTGGATCAAGTTCCACAACCTTAAACTCAACTTGTCTCATACCACCGCGAACAGTGAACAGATCACCCATACGTACAGGCCGGTAGGCCTCAAGGAAGTATGGCTTTAAGTAGACATCGAACAAAGATCCAGTCAATCCTTCAACAGTGTCTGCAATAGGGAGAACGGCAATACGTTTCGCCTATAGATAAATAGTCAGCATCGCCAGTTTCCATCTCATACAAATAAGAGATTCAAACATACGTATTTAATATCAGGACACGGGTGTACGGTAATGACATCGCCACTACGCCTAGGTTAGTTTCCGGAATAGATTTCAGAACCATGCTGGGAAGACAAACAGTCTAATCCGGAGGTTGTTTCTAACGACACGATTGATTCTCACAGATCCGTCATCAAGATCATCATCCGCCAGAACGATAAGGACTGTGTCCTTCCGCTTCTTCCCTTTGACAAGCACAGTATCCCCACGAAACAGTTGAAGCGTCTCCATGGTATTATTAGACAAGGCGATGATACCTACGACGCCATTAGAAATCATCCTCAAACACTGGAACTCGAAGCTAGGGCTAACAAACTATTATCATCATTAACGGCATCAGTGACAATCAAGCTATTCGGCTTCTTCTTCTTCTTTAAGATTGCCGTTGCGGTTTCGTCCGCCTGCGCCCAACCCGTTAGCAAAGCTCTTGTTAATCTCAACCATCTGCTAGGCCGATAAACGGTAGACGAAATTTATACCTCTTTGTGAGTGGCGCCTGAGGCATCGCTAATAGAAAAAGAGAGATGTCAGTTGATGAACCTCCCAAAGAAGCTGATCGGTTCTTCTCGATAAACTGAGAGTGAACTTACGCCAGATTAACCTTCTTTTTCTCTTCATGATCAGCCATCTTGGGTAGGAAGAATGAAGGAGCAAATCAGATAGATAGAGCTTGAGAGATGAAGCGAGGTGGGATATGGTAGCAGTGCTGATGGATGGGAGAGAGATGGAGTTAAGGGGGGAAGAATGATGAGAAGAGGTAGGATGGTGGTTGTGAGGTTGAGAAGGCAGCGAGTCCAATGTAACTTAAGTAGTAGCTACCGGTAGGTTACCTCAGCCGCCGAACCCCACCGAATCCCGGAGATACTATAGTATTGTATGTAACGTAGACTCGCATCCGCAATGTTCTCGTAACACCTCAGGTACCCACCAACTCCTACCCAAGATATCAGGATAGGCACGACTCCTTTTCGAGAAATATTTCTTAATCTGGTAATTGCAAATTCCGTAGAAAATATTCACATTTTTTTCCCACCTAATAGTTTCTGGAACGACCCGATTGAAGACTACCAAAACTTTGCGATTCACCAAGCTTTACGAGAACTTTGCGGACACGAGCGTATTGGACCAGGAAACAGATTAGACGGGGCAGCGAGCCAGTTTAAAACCCACCAAAAAGGTCGGAATTTCAAAACCTCAGAATTTGCAAAGTTCACATACAAAGTGATTCACCTCTGTGCCCGATCCAATCCACTGCCCAGTCCAATACGTTATCCTGGGCATATTTTTTTCCTTCCCATTTTAGACTTGTATTCTTGGGTAGTGGGCTTAGGCTCTGTAGTAGAACTTATTGTGGGGCGGCGGCGGGGTACTGGTTGAAGTTTGTGAGAAGAAAGAAAATGAACAAAGGAAAAGGAAAAGAAGTCGGGTTTCACACCACAGAGCTAATTTTTTTGAATTAGAACTTAGAGTTGTGTTAGGTCTCATCACAAGGTAGTAGTGTATAGTCTTTCTAATTCTATCCGAGGTTTATCAAAACACCCAGAGATCAGGAGAAGCCAAGGCATCACCAAAACGAAACCTCCCCTTCTACTACTTCAAGCGAGGATATCTAATAGTACATGTTTGTCTCTAATGCGTTTCCCATCAAACCTCCCGAACTCCAATATTTACTAAACAACTAACACGCAATAAGCCTGTACATAACAAACGAGCGATGTCTACAATGGCGGTAGAGGGTTTCTGCCTGAGGTCAGTGCAAGTCATTTAGTGTGATGATGAGGTAGAGGGTTTTCCATACCTGCAATTAGGACACTGCAATCTAAACCGCATCCACCCTTCAAGGCAATTTGAATGGAATACATGACGGCAAGGGGTAACCATATAGCTTCTCCTTCCCAATAAACCGACGCTACTGGGCCCACTGCCTGCATCGCGATCATTGGATATTGTCGGGACCTCAACGGACTGCATACAGATTGCGCAGTCGAACAAGCGGGTGTTGGGGAGGAGCGCGGTCACGTCCGTTGGAGGAAAGGAGGGAAGTTGTGGTTCGGCGGCTTCTAGATCGTCGATAGGAAGGATTGGGTGGTAGTCGTAGGCAGGGGGGAGGAGCTAGTATTCTAGTCAGCAATCTGCATATTTCATTGATGAGGGGGACGAAGGGATTACATTGGATGGGACCAGGACCCTTGGGCCAAACAATTGTTGGCTCAGGAGCAAGAATACCTGAAACCAGACCCAGCCAAGGGCCACGGCTGCTGATTTATAACTTGGCTCGAGGAAAAATATGTTTCCCTTCCAACAGTAGAGATATAGGCTTGGAGTGACTCTGCAAATACTCATTCCGATCACGAATTCCCATGTGAATGCCTTCCGGCACCCACGGATTACATTTCTGTATATTTGCGGCACCCAATAGCTATTTGCAAGTAGGACGACTGTATTGACGAATAGCCCTCGGAAGAGTGGTGGCCAGCTGGCTGCATGCAAGGAGATGAAGAAGGAGCCAAGAAGAACGAACAGGAAGCGGGGGTACAGCGTGCCGATGTCCTGTCGACCATCGTCACCGTTATCGTTCAAATCTTGATTGGGTGGCAATATTATCGGTGCCTGTGGCATTGCACTGGCGGGTAATGGGAGAGAACCTTCTGGTGGATCTACCGCTGGAGTGGCTGCTGGTGGTGTAGACTGTGCTGGGCGATGTTCGGGGCGTTGAATTCGACGGATAATCATCAAGAAGCGCATTCCGAAGATGGACCCGAGAAGAAAGGAGAAGAAAGTCATCGGGGACAGGGCTAGATAGCATGAATCTATAATAAGGTGTAAGTGCCATACTTTCCTAGGCGGTAGTTTACTGTTTAGCTTACCGACAAGTACAGTTGCTCCTAAAAAGGCAAGTGCCATATAACCATCGACTATACCCATCATTGCAATTGTCCAGAAGCTAACTCTACTCACTGTGCTCGGTGTGTTACTCTCATTCATCTGCCGAATCAACAGCCAAATCTGTGCACATGTGATGACCGCAGCGCACAGTGCAAAGTTGATTGCCTTGCGGAAATATTTTTCAATCTTGATGCCTTCGGCCTTCTTGACGCTAAGAACATGGCCGCATGTAGGAGAATATATAATTCCAGAGATGACGATGGGTGGCGCGTCAGGAACTGGAACGCCGGTGGGGTGTCGCAGTTCTTTTTCAATGTGTTGGAGTGTTTCAGGACTTATGTATGGTGGATGTGGTGTGTTGAACGAGAGGAACGGATGAGAAGAGAGCACTGGTTGGACAGGATGTAGCTGGAAATATGCGATATACTCACAGCGAGGTTTCTCATTAGCGGCCTGCTCGGGAGAATGTTGCCAGGGAGAGGCAGGTAACGCTGTATCCTCCTGCTTCTGGATTGCGGCGGCGATGGACTCGAGAAGAAGTGCTTTGGATTGGTTATAAGCGTTCTCTGTGAGCGTAAAATGCGGAAGTGCAAATATTCCCGCAAACCTACAGAACATAATTAATACCACATCACAACGTACAAATTTTTATCAGGGAACTAACTTATCAGACGTCGTGGTCATCAAAACCTCGCCAGACTCGGTAAAATGTGCCCCACTTAAGCTTATATCCTTCATATCTCCACCTTCTTCATTCTTAATAATCATTGTGGCTGTCATCTCTTGTACCTCTCCGGGCCTTTTCTTTTCTTCAATAGTAAAAACAAGTTTCCCACGATTAGCTGTGACATTCTTATCATAGGTCAGGTTCGTTTGTGGCACTCTAACATCTAAGAAAAGCCGATCCCATTCCCCATGCATGGTCCCAGTGGCATTTCGGTATATTGAGGGCAGCCGTGTGGACACGAAAGTAGGTTCCCAACTACGACGTTCCCCAGCAGCTTCCGAACCTTTAACATCGCCCCTTCCTTCTTCAACTGTCTCGGCTTTCGGGTTCGGATCCCCCCGAAGAGTATCTCCAGTAACAGCCATTGGCGGGCGCAGGCCACCTGCCCGCACTCCCTCCAGAAAGTACTCCCCAAGAACCTCTTTCTTTAGGGACTCAACTAGCTTCCTTACAGGTTCGGGAGGAATTCGGCCATGCGTGAAGTTTATCCCCGTGAGGTTTCCCGGCACTCCATATGTTGAGTTTCGTAAAATTTCAAGCTGCTCCTTTTCTCGTATGATTATCTCGTCGAGGCCGTAGCTGTTCTGTGGCGAGTTTCCATCGGGCGCAAGGAGAATGATAATTATTAGAATGAAGAGAACTCTAGCTCGAGACTGATCCATCGAGCTTTTCCGGTTATCCCAGTAATGGTCGAGCTTGAGGTTCGTGTTTGTTTCGGGGAGCTACCCTCACACTAGTTAAAGTTGTCGTTCAAAATTACCGAATCCGGCTAGGCCCTCTGGTAAGCATTACGAGTACCCTAAGCCCTTACTATAGTATTTGCAGGCCATCTTTTGTGTTCTATCATAGCCACTTTGGCAAGGTCCACTAGCGCTTCACTGTGGCGTCGTCAGACCCTGCTTATTTATCGGATCTCGAAACACTGAGAAGGCACTGGAATGGGCCAGCAACGCCGGCTAGAGTGCTGATTTGAAAGAGGCTCCAGGTTTGAAAGGACCTGTATAGAAATCAGTTCGAAGAACGGAAGCTCCCCCGGGCCTCTCCCAGCGCAAGCTAGGTTTGTTAACGTATGATACTATCGTACTGGACTAGGTATCATAGTGGATCAGGCGCAGAAGTGACCTACTCTATAATATTATGTGAATTTTTCTTAATTCCCCAGCGGAGAAATTTCCGCAAAACCAACCCTCCGGATTTAGCTCAAAAAAAATGAAAATCCAGCCAGCACTCTATCCGGCTTTTTTATCCATATGCTGTTGTACCTCCTCCTCCCGGTGTCGGTCATTAATTGATATTTTGAAATTCCGACCTTTCTGGTGGGTTTAACTGGTTCACTTCCCCTTCTGATCTGCTTCTCGGCCCAATAGGGAGGCTTTGTTACGACCGTCGTAGCAAGAACTGCGCTTATTTTTGTGGCGAATTATGAATGTTGCAGCGAGGTCAGAATACTCGAGTACTGGCATTTTGCTAAGCACAATAGTACAAAACTTGGTGTGGGTTGAAAACTTTTCTCCTAGTGTTGGTGCAGACTATACCCATTTTTGGTAAACAAAATTGTAAACACAACCACTTTATGGCTGTCTTATTTAAGAACTGTTCTTAACACTGTGCAAAGTCGAGCCACCGAGCACTATCGCACATGTGGAAAGGTTAGTACTATTGCTGTGGTCATAAGGAAAGTTCAAGTTACGAGCGTCTTAGCAAAACCTCCCTAATACGGTCATTCGAGTCATCGTAACGAGAACCTACGAGTACCCAAAGGGGGGGGGGGTAATATCTACCTAAACCACTAACGTATTGGACTTGGAGGCGAAATCAGCTATCATACAAGCACAGTACACAGAAGTGCACCACCAAATTTTTTAAATTTAGAAATCCGAAAATCCCAATTAACACCCACCCAACACTACTGGTAGGAAGGACGAAATACTGTAGGAGGTATGCCCTTTTTTTTTGAGGCTAATTCGAAGGATTTTGTTTTTGCAGAAAATTCTATGTATGTATCATACGGTGAGGATTCAGGCATAATTCAAATGTCCAATATCATACTTGAGCACGTTTCCCAGAACCCCCTAGAAAAGCTTATTTCACAGCACATTCGCCAAGAAGTTGATCCACTCTCCAACACCCCACAGTAACTTATGGTAATTTACCGGTATCATACGTATCATACTCTTAAGCACATCCCATTCCATCAAGAACATCACCAGACATCACTCAGGCTAACACACCCCACCATTAGACTAATTACCTCACAACTTTTCACGTCCTGCCATCCCAACTGAAAAAAAAAAATGAAAAAAGCATCTTCCTGCGGAACAAAACAAAACAACCTACGGTTTCCACTATGATACCACATCGAGAGAGCCGTAAGCACACCTTATATATATAAACGCTACACCCTCCCTACCATACCCGATACCGGTACAGTACTCCCCAACACAACTCCCCAACCAAAGTCTAGCAGGACATCACGCACCATAGCCACTCCCAAAACAGAGTGCGGTACGTCACGGCGCGGATTCTACTCGAGTAAAAGCGAGGATATCCGTCCACACTATCCCTTACCAACTAACCAACCAACACGTCCGTCCTTCCTGGAAGGGGGGGAGGCGAGCTTCCAAATGCACACTTGCGGGATTTTCCCACATGCGTGTCAGACTATCATAACTTGTTCAACTTTGTCCTACTCGCTCGGGACTACCCTACCACACCGTTATCCCACAGAGGCTTCTGGGGCTTGGTGGGGGGCGAGGTAAGGGATGGCTGCACGTGATTCGGGGCTTTGTGATGGGAAGGTCGTCTTTGGTGCTTTGGTGTCACTGGGTATCACTCGTCTACGCTGGGTTGGCAGTATATGTATGGTGGTGGAGTAATTCTGTATCACAGTTTGGTGATGAAGCGCTCCAAAAAGCGTATCCTACTACAATACTAGTAGTGGGTCACAACATGGCTTGACCAATGTTACAATAGTTTTGGCATATGCGTGTTTAAAAACAAACAATATGATAGACATACGATCCCATCAAAATCCCGAACTCGAAGAAATAAAAAAAATAAAAAGGTTAAAACGTCCAAACCCCAAACAAAAAGTTTCCTCGATCCCAGCTAAAAAAATATCCTAGGCCCAAACCATGAATAACCGATCAACGTCCTCCTTCATCTATGATAATATTATGATACCATAAATTCCCCCTCCTCCCCATTCTCCATTTCTATGATACCAGCCCGCCACCTAACCCTGCCCCCCCCTACCACCACCGCCCCCCATAAGTTTAACCCTCCTCTCCCTCGCAACCCTAATCCCCCTCTTCCTCCACTTCTGCCTGACGCTCTTCCCGACAATGCCATTTAGTAGAAACAAAATCGTGACCCCAAGCACCGGACCGGCAATCTTCCAAAAGAACCTGTCAGAATTCCGGATTCCCGGGAAGTCCTCGAAATTCATTCCAAAGTATCCTGTCAGGAAGGACATAGGTAGGAAGACGATTGTGACGAGAGTTAGGGTCTTCATCGACTCGTTTTGCGTCATGCCGATAGTGTTGAATATTAGATCAATCATGTTGTCTGCTGCACGTTTCATGGTTTCGAGGTTCTGTGCCCATTAGCTTGTGCTCGCTACTATATGAAGATACTTGGGAGAGGGCTACATCTATGAGAAGAAGTAGGTGGTCATCTACATCGCCAAGGTAGGTTTTTGTAAGCTCACTAACTTCGACACCCTTTAGGCTTTTTGTGGCAGAGTAGCCTTTTCCGTGGTCCCTGAGGGAGGAAACAAGACCGACGATTGGAGAGATTGTGCTTTTTAGCAGAGACAGCTCGCTAGTTAGGATGTACAGTTCCCGGGATTGCTCCACAGATGGGTCAGTCAAGACGTTCAGTTCCAATTCTGCTATGGTGTCCTGGTAGGCTTGGATCACGGGGAAGGCGAGATCGATTATAGCGTCAACCTAGTTCATAGGTTATCATGCTATTCACTAGCCTAATAGTAGCAAAGAGGGGGTGGCTACAATTGCCTGTAGTATCATTGATCCATCGCACGCAGAGCGGAGAATAGTGTTTCGAGATTCGAGTCTTTGGAGGATTGGTGGTCTGCAGGCGTGTTATTTCGCTACCCTGCAATCTGTACCAAGGGAGCGGAGCATACTCGATATCATCCGCCGAGTTCTCAAAGAAGCTGATGATCGTCCCATCTTCTGTTAAGAACATTGATACCTGCTCTACCGAGACGCGAAGCCCCTTTGATGATAGACTGGAGTATTTCTCCATGTACCTTTGGTTGTCAGCACAGGCTTAATCCCCCGCGTTAACAAGCTCACTCTATTCTCTCTTTGTTCGGTCCACCGTAGTACTCCTGTAGTGTCGTGATTTTCCCAATCGTGCTTCCGTCTGGATTTACAGTCGGAGCATTTCCGCAGTCCTCAGCTAGAGGCACAGTTAGTACTACCAGAGGGGGTAAAGGGATAAGAATTATTGCCATCTTCTGAATGGATCAATTTAACCAACGGCAAAACAACTTCAGGGCTCAAAAATTAGTTTTATTCCACCCAGGTATCCCATAGTAGAAGTACTAACGAAAAGCCTGGTCCGAATACCTATCCATCCCAAGTCAGCGCCAACTCAAACATCCCGCGAGATAGCGAAAATGGGAACCAAGGAACCAACCAATCACATTTAGTTCTCGTCCTAGTGTTCATCAAATCCTCGATCGCTACCCTCACAATCCGGAATTAGCCCAACCCTCCCCCCCTAATCACAGAGCAAAACCTACCGAGCCGATGCAAATTTCTATACTTTGCCAAAGCTTGAATAACATCCCACGAAAGTCCATTACAATTGATCCACCGCACATCAACCCACTCCTTCCTCGGTTCCTTCAAAAACTCAATAAGCTGCACGTTTCCCAGCTCCGTCTGCAATATGTCACTCTCTGAAAAGTCCACAACGGTGATCCCACAGGTCGTATGAAGGTTAACTCTCGCATCCAATACCTCGTCGGGACCGAGGCCCGGCTCCTGCCCGGGAGCTTCGTCCTGGTATTTCGCCGACGCGAGGACCGTTCCCGCCCGGCGGAGACGGAAGCGCGAGGTGCTGGGTCGGTGGATGCTCAATGGAGATTTCGGTACGATGATTCGCAGAGGGGGGGAGGTGTTATTCTCCACATCATCATCGTTCCTACATCCATTAGGTCGAGCCATTTTCCTGAAATGGCTAGGATAATTGTGTTTCCGAATGGTGGGCGAGTTTGGGGGGGAAATTGTTCTATGGTAAAGAGAGGCCGGAGAATCAAGCTTAAGTTAATAAGTGGGAAGATGGAATCCAAAAATGGGGGATGCGTGCTGGAAGTAGGAAACTTTAACAGGACACAAAGTGCATGGATTAAGAACCTTAGTAATAAGCCGTCTCGCCACAAGGGTATGGTACTTGTAACTGTGGATCCCAAACTGACAGGTTATATGCCCTTTTGCCTGGCCCGCTATACGGTTATCATAATATTATCATGCCCAAATAATCTTCCCGCTAATTTTTACGTGAGCGAGACCTGCACATCTCAGCCCTGCGCTTGATGCCGCATTTTTTTTCTCGTCAGCCCATTACGGCACCCCGATCTGGGGGAGTGCCATAGAAAGAGGGGAGTGCGGTTTTGATGACCCTCAGCTACTCGAGCAGTGTGCCGCATCCTGCTGCGTGGGTAAATTATCCGTTTTCTCGGACACGAGAGAAAGCTTGATCGAGTGAGATTTGGCTGCTTACGATACTCGGTTAGGTGTTTATTTCGTTAAGGATGTCGAAACAAACCAGGGCTGACGGACTCAACTCCGCTCCTGAAGCGCAAAGGGACACGCACAACACATACCGAGTGAGTTCGGATGATGTCTGGAATGGCAGTCTACAGAACGAGACATCATTGATATCTACTTGTGATTCCTATGCTGTAGGACCGTTGCCAATGGTTCCATCTGAGAGTCTGTGATCGCCATAGTGCACGCGTATCCTAAAGTACCGGTATAAGTACCATAAGTTAGGGCGGAACTGGATCAAGCTTATTACAGGAAATCCGGCTTTTTCCAAGGCAGTTAGTTGCCATCAAACTTTGTTTAAAGCAAGACCCCAGCAATCATGAATCATGATACTACTAGTGAGAATAGCCACCGTAAAAGTACAGGAGAAAAAAAAGACATCAAAAATAAATAAAACGAGCGATTGCCCTTATTCATCAATCGCTTGTCCGTGAGGGGTTTGATTAAATTTTAATGGTGACCAAAGTGAAGTTTCTCTGAGGAAACCGTTAGCGCTGTCTCAGCTGCAGTACCTTATAATACAAGAGGTGACTTACCCTTGATCTTTGTTGTGAGCCCCTTATGTTCACTACCAGATCCCTGAGATTCACCTGGGGCCTTATCATGGAGGCCATGGCGCTTCTTAGCCCTCTCCTCCTCCAGGTTGGTGGAACCTCTCGCAGCTCTATGAATACCCTTTTCTTCTAGAAGACGGCTTTTGAAACATTAAAATGAATCCCAATCGAATACACGCGTTGAACGACTTACTCTGCTTCCCTCCCAGCACCGGGACGGGTAGCGTCAAAGTCACCACCGTCAGCTGCTAGCCCAGTGGACTTCTCGTACTTTTCGCCAGTTCCTTCGCCGTGGCTTCCGTTATCAAGCTTCATGCCACTACCGAGGGGCTTCAGACCACCCATATTGGGAGCAGCAGCACTGGAGCAATCACCGGAACTGGAAGGCTCCTCGAGGGACTTGTCGGTACTCTGTTGCTCGTGAGTTGGTTGAGCACCGGCCGAAGGTTCGATTGCTGCTCCTGGCCCTCCTCCAATCACCCCCGCCACAATTCTTGGGGCTTCGTCGGTGGTCGAAGCAGCTGAAGGCCGAGATAGGTGTGATTGCCCAGCGGTTTCGTTCGTAGAAATTGGCTTGCTAATAAAGTCGGAACCGAGCTTGGAGCTGGCATTCAAGTCAGATGTGTGAGGAATTCCGGTTCCGTGGCCGGGTTCGAGCTCCTTTCTCCCGCTATCGCCAGCGAGAGAATCAGAGGTATTGGCGTTACGGTTAGAGTTGGTTGAATGGTCGGAAAAGTTACCAAGCTCAGTCTTGCTTTGCGCAGATTTGGCAAATTCTGTTTTACCAAACTCCGTTTTGCCTTCAGCCTTTCCTAAGTCCGTGCTGTTATTCTCGGTCTTCCCAAGCGAAATTCCATCGGCGGAGTGGTTGTCCTTCACCGGCTCCATCTTCCCAAGCTCAGGCTTTCCCAAGCCACCGGAGGGTTGATTGCTGAGCCATTTGGTTCCAAGCTCAGTCTTGCCCAGTGGTGCCGAGTGATTACGCGTGCTCCCCGACTCTGTCCCTCCGAGAGTGCTTCGATTCCCTAGCTCCCCATGATGCACCTTCAAAGCATCCTTCCCACCAAGACTACTGACATTATCCGCGTCGCCGGTGGGCGGGTTGTTAGGCTTATGATCTGCGGCCTCGGGCAGGTCCTCGCTGAAAGCCGAGGAATTGGTATTATACTCTGTAGAACCGGCACTCAGCTCATTCCTATCACGCTGGCTGTATGGGAAAGAGGTGTCATGTTCCGGTGCATCCGTGGAATGACGAAAAGGGTCGGAGTCGGTAGTGGTCTCGCGAGATTGGTGGGGTTCGTCGATGACTGTGCTGGCCTCTGCAGTGCTTCTGCCAATATGTTGAGGGTCATCGTCATGAGAAGTGCTCTCATCGCGGGCAGCCCGGCTACCGAAAATGGCTCGCTGGACAGTGCTTGCAGCGGCGGTCGCTGCGTTGGTTACAGTCCCCATGATCGAGGTTCAAAAAGAAGCAGACAACTTAAGCAGCAATATGGGTATTTTTTATATTCCTCTCTGGTGAGTGATGAGTTGGTTGCTTCTCTGTAGTGATGAGCGTAAATATGGGATGGGAAAGGGGGAGGAGGAGGTGAGGAGTAATATATACTCGAGTAGGTACTGTACCTGTGGCGGGACGGTGGGCTATGGAAGGGTGGGGTGGTGGGCCATGGGATGGTGGGGTGGCAGAAAGACGTAAGCTATGATACCGGTATGTCCCCCGGTATCATATCCATTCTCCTGCCTTGATTCCTGGAATGTTTTTTTTCTCAGTCTATGCAGTCATCCGATCCCTTCCAATTACGAGTGGGTACCGTGCTCGAGTACTCGTAGACTACGAGTATCGGCCATTGTCAACACCCAGTTCTCCCGCAGCATGATAAATTTATCCAACCTTCCCAACCCTCCTTCCCCGATGGTAATCGCCACCATATCGCTCGGCCGGCAGTGGGGCATAGTGGGATTTAGAATCACAAGCCGCGAATCACCAGTACGAGTACAGTACCACAGCAGTAATCCCTGCCAGCACGGCAGGAGCATTAGCCGAGATACATTGTACTCGAGTACGAGTGCGGTAACGTTAGACTACCAAAACTCTAACAGCGGGATGCCGTACCACCTCTACGTACTGGATTCCGCACTCTAGGCATCTTGGGCACCGGAAAGTAGTGAGGAAAGAAACTTGGACAAATACGTGGAAAAGGTCTTGTTTGTAGAGTAGATATCGTACATAGCCTGCAGCGCCAATTGACCGGGAAGGTGTTTAGCTGCTCGAGTAGTCTACGAGTATGATAGGTTACAGTCTACTCGAGCACAGTTTTCGAGCAGGTTGTCGGTACGAGTAGTCTACTCTAGACCATTTGGCTTCTACCAATTGAGAGGTTGGTTGAAATGAAGTCAGTGATGACGGAATAACACGTCATTTCTAGTTAGTCCCCTTGTACCCTTTGCCCTACTCGTAGAGTACCTCTAAATTTACCGTTGAGCCGCAACTTTGAGTGAGCCGAGACGTGTGTTAATTTAAGTTAATCTATGAGCACCGGTCTGTCTGAGTTTTTTTTTTTTTTGTTAAATAGTAGAATCTATTTGCTTAAAGGTGCAAACCTCCACTATAAGAGCACAGTCCGGCTAAAGCATGGATCCTAGATACAAGGGCACCTCTGCAATAACCGCCCCATACCCCTGATTTAGTCCTTAGACATGCTGGTCAAAAACCTCCACAGGCCTAGGGGAAAACAAGCCAGCCTAAGTCCCTCTGGTATGGGACCAACCGCACATTCACCCCCATGAAAGCTCCTTCTGCACAAAACAAAAAAAGCACAAAACAGGACTGGCAGGAGCTAACAAGAAAACCCATACCATATTCTCTTAAGAAAGGAAACACAAAAGAAACCCAACAAAGGAAACCACCTTGATAAACCACATTCCCTATTTTTCAACTGGTCCAATCTTGGCTAGCAGTTAGGAATATAGGGGAGAACCATGATGCATTTGCTTTGTGTGATGAAGGCAACCGACCTGGACGTGCCAGTCCCTAGTGGAGAGATCACATATGGCTAGTTGGACAGGGGCATGACTGGAGGCAGTACAATACTAACCATGTGTTACCGAGTAACCCAGACATCGGTAAAGTAGTAAACCCGACCGAGTAAAAGAACCCAGTAGGGTGGAGGAGTAGTCGCAACCTCACACAGCTTAGCCGAGGTGGCTACCATAGGGAGGAGGAGGACAGGATCCACTATCCGGTAGAGGTACCAAAGTCCAACACCAGAGGGGTGTAACGATCCCTCCTTGGATAGTTAGTTCTTGGTGATGGAGAACGATACATCTCTTCTTCTTATGTTTCTTTCCTTAGTCTTACGATAGCACTAGGCCTCTGCCTACGTTGCCAATGGTACAAGACCTCTGTCTTCTATCGGGAATGCCTATTGTAAGCTTTCTCTAACACTTCTTCATGAAGAGCTTTCCTTGGCGTAACGATAATGTTGCAATAAAGATAAAGATCGTAAAGGTATTTTATATTCGTTAAAGTAATAAGTAGGAAAAGTACTTAAAAGTCAATCTAATTTTATTTAAACTCGTACCGCCAACACTGGCATATGACGAGCCCCTACCGGCATAGGGATACCGCTAACTGGTATACCACTAATCGTAGGCTAACTAAGTCTACGGCCCTGCACCTGCCATCCTCGAGTCATGCCCACACAAGAACTAATTACAAGACCATCAAACAACCCAGCACCCTCTCCGGTCCAAGTCCGTAGCCCCTCTAGTATGAAGCCAACCAGCACCAAGTGTAGCCGAAGCCGAGCAAGAGACCGACCCAACCAAATTCCTCGCCCAACAAATATAAAATCACTACCATCCGGCCTGAATACCGTCCCGCAAAACCTCCTCCACAGTAGAAAACCAACAAAACACACACAAACTAATACTACAGGTGACACAATAGCAGAGAGGAGGTGATCAACATGTCCACCTCTCACATCCGCATACTCGGCCGTTGATCCTATGAACCCACTTTGCCAAGTGCCTCCGAAGAGAGTAGTAGTGAGGAGGAGGTATACCTGCTGACTGTCCCCCAAAACAAACATATAAACAAAAGAAATACATAGAGTTGGTGACAGACCTAAACGGCCAGTGGGGCCTATCTCCCACCCATAGTGCCTTGTCCTCGCCAGCCATGCCCATTGCTAAACCAAAGAAACCAAACAAACCCCACAACACCCAGCATGCAGAACCCAAACAAGTCTAATCAGGTGGTCGCAACCCACTATTCGCACAGGTGGCCATTAGCCAACCGGTTCATCGGGGAGCCTTACAGCACTTAGCAGCTTCGCCCAACAGCCCAAGCCGGACCGGAAACACATAATTAGACCTCGCCCAACCTGATACAGGGACGACCGGTGCCCGCAGGTGCCTCTCCCCCCCCAATCAGCCCCCCCCAAGCCCCACACACCAGGCGCCACAGAGCCCATCCAGCCCCCTCAGTCCCTCAGACAGATCAACCATCCGACAGCCACAAGACAGCTATACCTAACCCCATCAGGCAGCCACTGGTCTTGGCCATGCCAACAGAGCCACAACCCTCGACTCCATATAGCTGAGGGGAGCCCACCAGCCAAAGCCGGGAGCCACAAAGGAGGCAGCACCAATACCCTAAGGCACCAGCAGGAGCCACACCATTCAGCCCAGCCAAACTGAGGTTCAACCGAACCAGAAAAAAGGTAAGCAGGACCAGCCAAAGCCAGCCCTACAGGCCCGGCAACAGGCACGGACCTAACGATGGGCAAGAGGCATCCCCAACCGACGCAATAAGAAGGGGGAGAGCGAGCGAACAGAAGCAGACAAGCAGAAGGTAGGCCCCACTTGCAATGGGTGAAGCCGCAAGCCCCAGACCACAACTGAACCACCTAAACGCACAGACAACACGAGTGCCTGGCAGCCAATCGTCTCACACCACCCCAGGCAGTAACAATAACCACACCAGGGGGTAAGAGTTTTCAGGGTCAAAGCCATCCCCACAAATGCGAGAAGCAGACGCCTGACTGAATCACCGTAAATGCCGCAAGGACAAAAGCTCCAAGAGAACGGCGATAAACAACATCATAGAATTCCGACCGTAGAAACGAAAACGTAATGAAGAGGGGCTGGGCGGGTGCCGCCCTGCCACCTGAGGGATGATGCGGCCGGTACAACGAGTTGATACTTGGAAAGGTCACCAGTCTAACCCAAGGGCATTTTGTATCGCGAGAACTAAGGACTCCATTAAAACCCAACAAAAGACATGAGCTGGCCCAAAGAACGACATGGGTGATCCCCCCAAACACAATGTTCAATCCCCCCAATTGAACGCCAAACCTGCGAGTAGACGATAGACAGGAAGCCGTAGACATTTTACTGAAAGGGGCTCGTATGCGACCATGATGAAGTGCTCGAAGTGCTAGTATCATGAAATAACCAACCCAACGAAACGAGACTCAAACAAGTTATCCGCTACACAACACCTAACAGTCCTCAACACCAAAAACTCCAGGAACTGCTGAGCGAACTCAGATATCTCCCCCAGAATCTAAGACATCAAGGCCCATCATGATGGCGAAAGAAACGCTCGGGGCGAAGCGACGGCAAGGACGAGGAAAAGTACTTAGAACAAAGTGTGAAGAACCTATTCTTCTCAGCCATATTGGCTTCCTTATATAGTGTTCTTCCCGTCCGTAGTCATGTGACCCAAAGTGGTTACATGTGCGAAACCAAATCATAACAAACTAATAATGTGACAAAGTGGTCACAATCTCAAAACTCATGACCTCATAGTAAGGTCATGTGTGAAAACTCATAAACCAATCTTAACACAATAAACAAGTCATATGACTTGAATGAGTCATATGCACAAAACCTGTGACCTCATAACGAGGTCATGTGCAAAATATAAATCATATGTGCAAGGCTTACCCGCCAGGCACCCTTGTAAGGCATACTTGCCAAGCGCACGTCCCATGATTCATAATCGAGTCATGTGTGAAACATAACATAATAAGTCATATGATTCAAATGAGTCATATGCGTAAAACAATAACATACCTATGACTCATAATCATGAGTCATGTGAAAGCCATTTTACGTGCCAAGTTATGTTTGTAACAAGGGAGGTGAAAATTTCGTTTAGCCTCACGATGAGGTTTGGTGTCCAGGCTTTTGAAGCTTCCAAAGTTCAGGACAGGAGAGAGAGAGAATCATGAGGTGGTAGAGCGTGGTGTTGACGACCACCACTACCTTTCCAAACAGGAAGGTGAAAAGCTGGGTCAGGAAAATAGCGGAAGAGAAGCTTGACCGGTCTGCCTGAGTACCAGTACCATCCATGTACTCATCTCGCCGGAATTAGTCATAGGTCACGTGAATATGGCTCTGTTAATGAATATGAGAACAGAGAGTATTACCATAGGTACTAATTGTGAGTGTTGGTAGTGAGCATTGATCTTGAGAATTGAATTATTTTGTAACAGAAATCCAGAATGCCAAAACACTTAGAAAAAGAGAGAAATAAAGAAAGTCAATAGATTCAGGACAATTTAACCCTATCCATTGAAGTTGTTCTGTCCTCCATTTTCGATTACAAGTTCGAGCTTGTTTTTACAATCACTACAGCGTTCATAAATAGAAATCATAGAAAGCCTTGCCCATTCCTGTATCATAATACCCTTAATCTTATCAATTGTAGCCTTGTCTGTTCCAATAAAAGGTTCTTTACTAGCAATTGAATCTTTAAAAACATTTCACACCTTCTCAATTTCATTCAGGTTAGGAGAGTTTTCCGGCCACTAATAGCAATAGATACCGCAGCTATCCATTTCTTCAATCCAGCACAGATCATTTATAATTGCTCCCCTGTACCCTAGAGCATTGTCTTCAACAAGCCAAACCTCTTTATCAGGATTGTCATTCCTGATTTGTTTTAAAAAAGAATAGAGGTAAGGATATAAGATATGCTCAAGATATTGTATCCAATCAATACCATCGGCTGTGTCTTTCCATTCAATTTTTCTGAATTTCCAAATACGCTCTGGACCAGGACGAGGATATTGGCGGCCTTTCGCAGTTCAAGGACTATGGACAATCTTATAATGGATTTCCTGAAGCTGTTGATACTCTTCTGTACTGGGTATTAAAGCTTGCCGTCACTTTTCATCAACAGCTGCTTGATCTTTAGCCCTTTTCTCCTCTACCAATCTATCATTTCTCCTCCTCCTCCTCCTCCTCCTTCTC